CAGGCTAATCCCAATCAAAATAGTAGCTTAATGTTTTTTTTTTTTTTGTCTTTTTGTCTTTTTCCGTGTCCGGCAACGGATCGCAACCCTCAGTGTTGCCCCCGTACCGGACCGGGGACCGGCAACGGGATCGCAAGCCTCGGTGTTGCTCCCGCGCCTCGCTCAGCCAGTGAGCGGGAGCCGGTCTGTATGTGGGATCCGAACCCTCGGGCGGGAGCGCTGCCGCGCTTCCCAAGCGGCGCACTATCCAGTGCGCCACCGGGCCGGCCAGCTTAATGTTTTGAAGAACCAGAAAAAATTCATTCCAAAGTTTACAAGGAAAAATCAAGGTCCTCAAATAGCTGGCCTAATTTTTTTTTTTTTTTTGTTTTTTTTTTCCGCGTCCGGCAACGGATCGCAACCCTCAGTGTTGCCCCCGTACCGGACCGGGGACCGGCAACGGGATCGCAAGCCTCGGTGTTGCTCCCGCGCCTCGCTCAGCCAGTGAGCGGGAGCCGGTCTGTATGTGGGATCCGAACCCTCGGGCGGGAGCGCTGCCGCGCTTCCCAAGCGGCGCACTATCCAGTGCGCCACCGGGCCGGCCAGCTTAATGTTTTGAAGAACCAGAAAAAATTCATTCCAAAGTTTACAAGGAAAAATCAAGGTCCTCAAATAGCTGGCCTAATTTTTTTTTTTTTTTTTTTTAAAGATGACTGGTAAGGGGATCTTAACCCTTGACTTGGTGTTGTCAGCACCACGCTCAGCCAGTGAGCTACCCGGCCATCCCCATATGGGATCTGAACCCGTGGCCTTGGTGTTATCAGCACCGCACTCTCCCGAGTGAGCCACGGGCCAGCCCCTAGCTGGCCTAATTTTAACGAAGACTTTTTTTTTTTTTGGTAGCTGGCTAGTGTGGGGATCTGAACCCTCAACCTTGGTTTTATTAGCACCACACTCTAGCCAAGTGAGCTAACCGGCTAGAGAGGAAAAAAAGGGGACTTGCCATTCCAGATGTAAGGTTTCCTACAAGGGCCTGGTTTTAAGAACCCATATGCGCTGGCACAGAGACAGGCAAATAGATCAGTGGGGCACAAGAGAGACCCAGGGACACAGTGTGCCAGGGGGGTGCCATATAAGGGGGCTACATCAAGCAATGGGGAAGAACTATTTAGTTGATGGTGTTTGGGAAATCTAGAAAAATAAGATTGGTTTAAGACTACCTACCACCTTAATCCAGACAGATTAAAGATTTAAAGAATAAAATGATAAAACAACTGATAGAAGAAAACGTTGGTGATTATCTTTGTGACCTAGGTGTCACAAGGTTAGTTAAAAATTACACTCTGAGCTGCTTCATTTCAGTGAATTTAACTGTATTCTAAACTGGCAACACTGTAAGAAAATGTTTTACATAGGGTTTTTACTGATATTTCTGAGTAATTCATCTAACGCTGGTTTTCAACGAGTTTTCAACAAGATCCGAAAAGCGCAAACCATAGGTTAAAAAAAAAAAGAATGGAAGTAATTACATAAAAATTAGAATTTAAAAAAATGAATTAGTTAGGCAATAGCTAGCATTTTATTACAACTCTTTGAGTTAGTCAAGACTGAGAAAAGGAGAGTTATAAGAATATCTATACAGTTTGTGAGGGGGTCCTCTGAGATGAGTTTCTCTTTCTGCTCTATCCTCTTAGAGTAAAGCATAAGCAATTAAAATCTGTGTTGATTTTTATTTAATCAAAGATTTCTGTTTCTCAAAGGATACTACAGACCAAGTTAACACTTGATAGCCAGAGAAAGATAATTCCTTCTATACCAGGAACTTCAGTAAATCAATAAGACAAAAACCCCAGTTAAGGGCTGGCCGGTTAGCTCATTCAGTGGAGTGTGAGGCTGACAATGTCAAGGTCAAGGGTTTGGATCTCTGTACTGGCCAGAAGCCAAAAATAACAACAAAAAAAATAACAAGAAAAATTAAAATAAATAAAAAATAAATAAATTTTTAGGGCTGGCCCTGTGGCGCACTGCTTTAGTGCGCCGCTTGGGAAGCGCGGTGGCACTCCCGCCGAGGGTTCGGATCCCACATGCAGACCAGCCGCTCACTGGCTGAGCGAGGGGTGGGAGCAACACCGAGGGTTGCGATCCCGTGGCCGTCCCGGTATGGTACGGGCGCGACACTGAGGGTTGCGATCCGTTGCCGGGCACGAAAAAAGACAAAAAGGAAAAAATAAATAAATAAATAAATAAATTTTTAAATGCGTCTGAAAAAAAAGACTGAAGGAAATGAGTAGGCAGTTCGCAGAAGGGGAAGCCCAAATGACTAACAAGTTTGTGAGGAAATGCTGAAACTTATGAGGAATCAAGGACATGCAAATTACACTTTTTTCTTTTTTTTTTTTTTTAAAGATGACCGGTAAGGGGATCTTAACCCTTGACTTGGTGTTATCAGCACCAGCCTCTCCCAAGTAAGCCACGGGCCAGCCCAACACTTTCTTCTTTCTTTTGGCAGCTGGCCAGTACAGGGATTGAACCCTGGATCTTGATGTTATCAGCTCCAAGTTCTAACCAAGTGAGCTAACTGGCCAGACCTGATATGCAAATTAAAACAATAATGAGATACTTCTTTCACAACTGTCAGAATGGTAAATATCAGGATGGTGGACATGCAACATGGTGAGGATGTGAGGAACAGGAGCAGCTTTTCTAGAAATCAATATGACAAAACACAGGTGGGTGTAACCCTTTGGCTCCAGTGATCCCTCTCCCAGGTATATACCTCAGAGAAATTCTAGCACCAGTCCATGAGGGTATGTACAAGGATATTCACTCTGGCAAAATTTGTGGAGGAGGAGTTGGTGGCAACCAGGTGTCCATGATAGGGAACGGGTAGGTTGTGGATGCATATCATGAAATGAGAAGCAGTACTGAGAAGCTATGAACCATAGGCATTTACAGGACATGGCTAGATATTTAAAACAATGGTGTTGAGTGAAAAAAGATATGTAGCACAATATCATTCATATAAATTTAAAACATACACAGACAAAATGACAACATATTTTACAAGGATACAAACATATTCAAATGTCATTTCCTAAAGCTCACACTAACCCTGATCCCTCTCCCCATTGCTCTCTATTGCTTTACCATGATTTATTTTATTTTTCTTTATGGCACTAGGATGTCTACTCCATGAGGGCAGAGACCTCGTCTGTCTTGATCACTGCTGTATCTCCAGCAACTAGAACAGAGCGACATTATCAATAGTCAATAAATATTTGTATCATGAATAAATGGAGGACATATAGCCAACAGAAAGTGGGGCCACAGGGAGGGAAAAGGAGGGCAAGAATGAGTAGGTTAAACTAAAACAAGGAAAGGTCCTTGCCTGGACATATAATGATAGTGTGTCATGACTTATCCATAAAAATTACAAATTATTTTATCAAATTCATTACTATGGGGCCGGCCTGTGGCTCACTTGGTAGAGTGCGGTGCTGATAACACCAAGGCCCCGGGTTCGGATCCCATATAGGGATGGCCGGTTCGCTCACTGGCTGAGCGTGGTGCTGACAAATTCATTACTATGGCAAACTAAGCCCTCCATAAGCCTGTCACCTGCCTGTCCAGCCTCCTCTGATTTTACTCTCCCTCTGATCACCATGCTGTAGCCAATCCCGGGTTCGGATCCCATATAGGGATGGCCGGTTCGCTCACTGGCTGAGCGTGGTGCTGACAAATTCATTACTATGGCAAACTAAGCCCTCCATAAGGCTGTCACCTGCCTGTCCAGCCTCCTCTGATTTTACTCTCCCTCTGATCACCATGCTGTAGCCAATGCCTCTGCCAGTTTGCAGAACACCTGATCACCTAAGGGCTTTTGCACAAACTGTTGCCTTTTCCTATAAGCTCTTTATTTAGTTCTTCAAAAAGTTGGTTCCTTCTCATTCTCCAAGTTTCAGCTCAAATATCACTTCCTCGGAATGGGCTACTCTAACCATCCTACCTAGTGCTATCACATCACCTGTTCATTATCTTAGCAAGCTCTGTGATGATCTTGTTTACAGTGTATCTCTACCCACTGAATGTAAAATCCAAGAAGAGGCCTTTGTCTGCTTTATGGTATCCCCAACACCTGACACTGAGTAGGCATGCAAATATTTGTGTAAGTCACGAGTGAAGAGATAGATCGTAAGTACTGAACAGAGGAGAGATGTAGATGGGAGAAGATGGGAGTCTTGACAGGGCCAAACAACAGGGGTTATGGGGATAGAGAGGGCTTGATGGAGGAGAGGCTGTGGTCAGGGCGCCAAACTCATGGAAGTTCTGATAACAGTGTTTCAGCATTAATGTTCTGAGATGGTGGGATCATAGGCAAAATTCTTCCTTTAGTGTCCAATATTGTTCATATAAAATAAAAGTCAATAAGGTCAAGGGTTCAGGTTGCCATACCGGCCAGCCGCCAAAAAACCAAAGTCAAGAGAGGACAAATGTTTCTTTTTATGGTAATACATTTAATCTTCGCAACCTCCCAGTGAAGAAGGTATCATTCCCACAGTAGCTAATGTAGCTTCCTATGTGGCAGGCACCGTCCTCGGTGCCTTATGTGTGTGAGAAAGGCAAGACCGTTGTCATTTGACTGATGAAACGACGAGGGACAGGGAGGGTAAGTCTTGCTCATGTAGTGGTGGGCCATGACTTAAATCCTGATCTAATCCCAAAGATGTGCTTTCCCTTTCAACCACTGGAAGTTGTAGTCAAAACAAGTGTCCGGAGGAGGGGCAGCTAGTTGTCCCGGGTCTATCACAGGTCGTCTGTGTTGGTAAACATCACGCGAGCTCTTTAGGCTCAGGACTTGAGGATTTGACAGGGTGGCTTCATTAGATGGCTCCCCCCACCCCACCCCACCCCGCGCGACTGCGGGGCCGGCCTCAGCCGTCCTGGCACCGCGGGATTTGGACTCTCCTGGGGACAGACACTCTCCTCACAGCCTCTCTCCTCATCACTGTCCTCCACCTTACCTCCCGGCGGCGACCAGCTTCTGGAGAAATGTGTCTACCATGGTGTCAAGGAGCTTCACCCTCGAAATGCTAGTACCGGTAGTCACAGATTCCGGGGACGACCCCTCAGGCCTTCTTTTCTCACTGCCACTGCCTAAATTGGCGCTGCAAGCTTCGGCCATGTTGAAATCGAACCGCCAAATCTAACTGGCCCGGCCGCCCCGCCCGCTCAAGCCCCCGATTGGCTGTCCCCGCATGGGCGCCTCCGATTGGAGCTGGCGGAATGTCTATCACCAAGCCGGAGGGGGGCGGGTGGTGGGAAGATGAGGCTAGTGACGTAATGCGCCGGCGTAGTTTCTCAGCAACCTGAGCGAGAATGCGCAAGCCAAAGCTCCAGGCTCAATAAAAACTTTTAATTACAGTTAAAAGACTTCGTACAGTGCAACAGTGAATATTCGCTGTTAACATTCTCAAGAGTCCATTTTATCAAATGTAAAGTGAGTCTGTATTTTCATTCCCCTGTCCCTCAATACTCCAGTCGGGTTTCTTGTCCTCTCCAATCTCGGTTTCCTCTAGTTTTGGTTACCACCAGTACATCAAAAATTCCAGCTGCTTTGGTCTCCAACTTTGGGAAGACAGAAGTCCACTGTCCCATCCCCACCAAGACCCAATCACAGTCCCTAAACTACTGTTAGATGGGAAAGTAGGGGCCAGGAGTCCCTTTAATTATACATACATCATCCTTTAAACTTTTAAAACTGTGTGTGTGTGTGTGTGTGTGTGTGTGAAATACCCTAAGTGTGTGTGTGTGTGTGTGTGTGTGTGTGTGTGTGAAATACCCTAAATACCCTAAAACACGAGACAGGAGACTACCTCCTGTCCATGATTCTTTACCCATTTTAGCATAGTGGGGCAGGATTAAAGACAAGTCTTTAGGCGGCCAGCCGCAAAAACAAAACAAAACAAAAAACACACACAAGTGTCTAGGGAGAGGAAAGTGTGGAGCTGAGAAAACCAATTTCCAAAGGTCTCACTAGGGTGAGCTTAAAGAGAGAAGAGGGGCGTCTTGCTTCCATTATATTGGTGGTTCTTAGGGTAAAGAAGTGAGTGAGGGGCAGGAAGATTCAAAAAGCCGTGTGGACCCAACCCTTTGGATGACCATATGCAGATAAAAATTAGAGGACTCTCTTGACAAAGTGCAGGAAGGGACAAACAAAAATAAAGACAAGGGAAAGGGGAAACTACTAAAAGATAGAGAACAAGATGGGCAGTGATGGTGATGAAGGTATAGAAATATGTTTTTCAAACTCTAATCTGACCAGGGCGGAAGAATGTGGGGCAGCCATAAGAAATATCAAGGCTTCAGGTAGCTAGCACCTTTCAAATTGGCACCATGGCCTTTCCCTGGGGGTGGGACCAATAAGGTTTAAAGGATCATCCAGGCCAAATGTCTCAAATAGAAATGCAGAGTTTGACATGCCTTCTTCTCATTCCATTTGCTGCACCTCTCCACCTGCAACACAGGGTTGGTGGAGGAGGTGGGGGGAAAGAAGGATGAGACAGGGAAGAAGGAATGCTTATCTACTAGCTCCTGAGCAGAGCTTTAACAGATAATCTCGGCAGTATCAGGCTGGTAAATGCAGTGGTCTTGGTACTGGGTGACTTCCGGAACCACTCTTTATTCTCTCTTCCAAGCATCCCTCCACAGGGTACCATGCCTGGGATGACTCTTCACATCCGGGGAGAAGACAAACACAAACAGTTCCATGTCTCAGAGATTCCCATTGTGAGACAACATCTGTTGCCATAAGTCCAAGTGATTGGGGTATACATGTGTATGTCATGGCTGCTTGGGGCTGAGAACCTCCACTGCCCTCTCCTAGGCTTGGCTCAGCTGGCCTGGGGAGATGTGCTGGAGAACACGCATCCTCTTGTCTCTTTCCAAACCAACTACTCTCTCAACCTGACTTTTCAGGGTAGTGCTCCAAGTCCAGTGTACCCCAGATGTACCCCAGATCTATTTATTTATTTATTTATTTATTTTTTTAAAGATGACCGGTAAGGGGATCTTAACCCTTGGCTTGGTGTTGTCAGCACCACGCTCACCCAGTGAGCTAACCGGCCATGCCTATATGGGATCCGAACCCGTGGCCTTGGTGTTATCAGCACCGCACTCTCCCGAGTGAGCCACGGGCCGGCCCACCCCAGATCTATTTAGAACTGTGCCCACCACTGTCATCATCTGGGCCAAGGGAAGGCAACAGCTTATATTGTCTGTGAAGTGCTGGGACTGAAGGGACACTGAAGGGGTAGGGAACTGGGATTTTAAAAAAGCTACATTATATTTTTCCACCTGTCAGAGGAAGGGGTGGGCTCTGACAGCAGGACTAAGACAACAGCCTTAGATGTTCACAGATATTAAAAAAATACACACACGAAATAAAGTATCAACATTTCTCTCCAACCTAATAACACCTCCAAAGAGAGGATGAGTGCTCTGGAGAACCAGAGGTTTTTGCTGCTCCTACTCCCTGTGCAAAAGTGCCCGGCACCTTGCCCCCCAAGTGGCAGGGAAAAGCAGAGTAGTCTGATGGGCAGCTTAGTACCAAAATAAAAAAAGCTTAAGAAATGAAGTGAGAGAGAGCTGATAGCAGCTGCTTGGAATCTGGACTGGTAGTAAGCAAACTCAATATACAGCTCTTCTCAGGATCTCAGGGATGCAGATGGAGCGGGAAGACAAAAAAAGGGTTAGCAGGGTGGAATTGGGGTCCTTAGGCCATAATTGAGTAGGGGACTGAGTGAGGGAACCCAGTTCAATAAGAGAAGTAAAAATAGTGGGGGCAGGAGATCCAGGTGTGGAACCTTTTCAGCAAGAGCAGTTCAAAGTCTTTATCCCTGTGCCAGACAGTCCACGTGGCCCAGGGCAGGGATGGGTATGTGGTGGGGGCATTTGGAGAAGGTGCTATCCTCCCCACTCTGTCCCCAACCCAGAGTAATGTGGGAGATAGCAGGCTTCTCTCCCCAACACTGGTTACCAGTGTCTCGAGTCCACCAGTTCGGGTCGGAGGCTAAGTTTCTTGAGGCTCTCGTAGCCCACCACAATGACAATGGTGGATGGTGTAGCTGAGATGATTCTGGCTGAGAGGCCCTTCATGAGGCCCCAAGGCCCCTCTTCTGCCATCAGCTGTCTGAAGGTCAGGATGATGGAGTTCTTGCCCTCAACCTGGAAAAGTCAACACAGTGGAGAGCCATTGTCTGCAGTCAAAGCCCCTCTGCTCAGTCTCCCTCTGCCTTAGGCTAAAGTGGAAAGAACTAGACTTGGGAGTCACAAAGGCTGGATTCTGCTTCTGAGGGACAGTACAACACAGTGCTTTAGTATGAGCTCTGGTGCCAGACTACCAGGGTTTGAATTCTGCTCCCCATCTTACTAACAGCATAACCTTGGGTAATTTACTTAATTCTTTGTGCCTCAGTTTCATCAAATAAAAAGCAGTGATAAAGGGGCTGGCCCATGGCTCACTTGGAAGAGTGTGGTGCTGATAACACCAAGGCCGCAGGTTCTGATCCCTATATAGGGATGGCTGGTTCGCTCACTTGAGAGAGAGTGGTGCTGACAACACCAAGTTAAGGGTTAAGATCCCCTTACTGGTCATATTTAAAAAAAAAAAAAAAAAAACAGTGATAATATTACCTATACCACGAGGTTGTTGTGAGCAAGAAAAAAGAAATAATCCTTATAAATGCTGACAAAAGTGCCTGGCAGATAGTAGGTGTTTAATTAATATTAATATCATTAGATAAGCTATGTAGCTATGAGTCTTTGGATGGGGTCCTTCTCTCTTGTCTCGGGGAGGCTAGATTAAATCACCTCTAAGGTCCTCTGTAAGCTCTGGCAGTCCATGATTTTGATTCCTACAATCTCCATACCTTTGAATCCCCAGGGATAGAACCTCCACTCCATTCCTGTCCTCTCTCACACACCCCTGTGGCCTGTCTTTCCTATCATACTGGAAGCCCAGCCAAGGCAGGAATCTCTTCTCTCTGAACAGTCTCACCCCCACTCCCCTACCCCCAAACTACACCTTTAGAGACCATCCCCCTCAGCCAGTGTTGGATAGACACATTCCCTGTTCATACCTCCCCTATGTGGTGTGACCTTCACAAGGTGGACCCAGCCATGGCAAAGAATCTCTCTCCATTGTGCCCTGCCTCCTGCAGTATCCTCCTCCACACTCTCTTCTTCCTCTCCAGTATTCTCATCTGACCACCTCTGCTCCCCTAATCCTCCCACTTATCCGTACCCATGTCAAGGGCTTTTTCAGCTATGCCTCTTGTTCTCCAGTCTGAGGACTCCTCAAACTAGAGACCTGTCCTTTCTCTTGGATCTCCCCCTAGAACACTCAGGGCAACGTTCAGGAGAGAATGGGGACTAAACCTGTGCACTTTATTATTTGCAAACCAATCAGATGGGCATGAATTCAACATCAAATCGGGGGGGCCACTCTCTCCTAGGGACAAAAATACCTAGTATTTACTACTCGTCTCCTTCCCAACATCCTGGTACCAGGGAAGCTGACTTTATTCTCAGCCTGTTACGGCTATATTCTTTCCCTCTTCTCCTTACCATAACCTCCTGATGACCCCACTCTCCTGTGCATCTTTCTTGATTTACCACCTTTCCTCCTAAGCTACCCAAATCAGACATGCTCTCCACCTAAAACTTTATACCGCAAAACCTACCATTTTCATACTATATATCATCTTTCAGATTCTATTTCCTTGGTCTAGGTGCTGGGTAATTGTCTTTGAGCTGACTGAAGACAGGGACTATAATTTCTGGACAGCACTGCCAAGGCTTTTTCAGCATTTTTGCTCAGTCCACGCAGTACAATCTATGAATTCTATTTAAGAACAATCACTCTAGGGGCTGGCTGGTTAGCTCAGTTGTTTGGAGCATGGTGTTATAACACCACTGTCAAGGGTTTGGATCCCTGTATTGGCCAGCCTCCGGAAAAAAAAAGAGAAAAGAAGAGTCACTTTCACTCTCTGTAGAGAACTATCTCATCATGGCCTAGTGGAAAAACCAGACAGACTTATAAACTTAACTGAAATCAATATTTCTAATAACCACACACCTGCAAGATAAGGAAAGTGTGGTAGATAGGTTGTGCTAGTGGGCGTCGGAATAGAATTCCAACTAAAGGCTGGAAAAAACCAGTCAGATTTCCTGGAGGCATGGGCATGTAATGGAGTTGAAGCATGCAAGGTAGCAGACAGGGTGAGCATTCCAAATGCTTAGCTGGTTTCTATAGATGGTAAACACAGGAAGGGTCTTGGATGACCAGGAAAAGGCTGACTGGACTAGAGAGCCATGACATAAAGAGGTCAGGGGAATAGGGAAGGACCTAAAGATCATGCTTCTAGTGGCTTTTCTAGGAGGAGTGGGGGAGGGGACTAGTCTTACCTGCACACGGGTTCGGATGACATCCATGGGATTGGTGAGGATGGAGGCAGTGGCTGCAGCCAGGGGCCCCGAGATGGCTTGAAAGACTATATGAGGGCATTCCTTAGGACACAAGTAGGAGAGCTGTTCTGGAATCCAGGGAAAGACAATGCCTCAAGACATGAGGTGCCACTATTTGCCCTCACTATGCTTGCTGCTTCTACCAGTTGGCATTCCCAACCGTGATAAATCCTATGTCCTTTGCCACCCTAGACCTGTAAATCCCATCTTTTCTTTTCTCTTCTGCCATCTGCATCCAACAAAAAATTAGGCCCCTTCCAGAAGTCATCTTGGTCACATCACCCATTTAAACAGGACAAGATTCCTGAGAAAGGGATTTCAAAACCTCTTTGCTTGTTGATTCCTTTCATCAGCTGGACAGAAAATCCTTCCTGATGTAAAAATCTTATGCCTCTTGCTATACTCCTCCCAATTCATAAGCTAGAAAAGCATGTACTTCATATTTGCTTATACACTATAGTTGTCCCTAGGTATCTGTTGCGGATTGGTTCCAGGATTCCACTGCAGGTACCAAAATCTGCAAGTACCTGACGTACCTGCATATAACCTATGCCCATCCTAAATCATCTCTAGATTACGTACAATACCTAATACAATGTAAATGCTATGTAAATAGTTGTTCTACTATCTTGTTTAGGGAATAATTACAAGGAAAAGAAAACTCTGTACTTGTTCAATAGAGCCATTTTTTTTTTCTTAATATTTTCAATTTGCAGTTGGTTGAATCCACAGATGTGGAACCAACGGATACAGAGGGCCGACTATATATGCATTTAATAACTCTGGTAGGATACATTAAAAACTGATGACACTCACTGTCTCTACAGGAGGGAACTGGGGATTGCAATGGGTGAGAAGCCTTTCCTCTGCATATCGCATACTATCTCATATCTTTTGAATTTTGAACCATGTGAATGTTTTTAAAAATAAAAATTAACTGGGGGCCGGCCCGGTGGCGCACTGCTACAGTGCGCTGCTTGAGAGCGCGGCGGCGCTCCCGCCGAGGGTTCGGATCCCACATATAGACTGGTTTCCGCTCACTGGCTGAGCGAGGTGCGGGCGCAGCACCGAGGGTTGCGATCCCGTTGCCGGTCCCGGTCCGGTACGGGTGCGACACTGAGGGTTGCGATCCGTTGCCGGACACGAAAAAAGACAAAAAGGAATAAATAAATAAATAAATAAAATAAAATAAAATAAAATAAAAATAAAAATTAACTGGTTTGTTGACTCAGCAGAGCATGGTGCTAATAACACTAAGGTCAAGGGTTCAGATCCCCGTCTGGCCAGCCACCAAAAAATAAATAAAAATAAAACTTAATATTAAAATAGAAAGTCATATCCTACAGTGAGAATTTTTCTCCAGTACATATCAAGAAAGAAAAATTCATTTTTCAAAATGCTAATGAAGATGGAATGGCATCCAGATTCACCCATTCCCAACACCACCAGGGAATGCACTCTAATGGAATGCTTTGCATTACCCTCTCTGGAGCTGAAAGACAAGAGTTTATTAATTTTGGGCCGGCCTGTGGCTCACTTGGGAGAGTGCGGTGCTGATAACGCCAAGGCCATGGGTTCGGATCCCATACAGGGATGGCCGGTTGGCTCTATGGGTGAGCGTGGTGCTGACAACACCAAGTGAAGGGTTAAGATCCCCTTACCAGTGATCTTTTAGAAAAAAAAGAGTTCGGGCCGGCCCGGTGGCGCACAGTGCGCCACTTGGGAGCGCGGCAGCGCTCCCGCTGAGGGTTCGGATCCCACATACAGACCAGCCGCTCACTGGCTGAGCGAGGTGCGGGCACAACGCCGAGGGTTGCGATCCCGTTGCCGGTCCCGGTCCGGTACGGGCGCGACACTGAGGGTTGCGATCCGTTGCCGGTCACAAAAAAAGACAAAAAGGAAAAAAAAAAAAAGGAGTTCATTAATTTATTCAAAGATTTATCGAGTGACTACCATGAGCCAGTCATCCTGGATCCTAAGGATTTAACAGTGAATAAAAGAGACTCAAATTCCTGCCCTTAGGAAATTTACATTCTATTGGTGAAGACAGACAATAAACAAATAAGAAGCAAAATAAGTATATAGCTATGTCAGAAGGGGTATAGTATAGATAAAATAAAGGAGGAAAGGGAGATAGGGAATACCAAGGGTAGGGGGTGAAGGGGTTACCATTTTAATCAAGGTAGTCATGGAAACCTTTCCAAGAAATTGAAGTTTAAGCAAAGAACTGAAGGAAAGTGCAAGCCACAATGGATCTGTGGAAAAGAGCTTTCCAAGCACAGAATAACATTCTGTTCAAAGGCCCTGAGGCAGGAGCACTCCTTAAGTGTTCAACAGGCAGCAAGTCTAGTATGCCTGGAGCCAAATGAATGAGGGGAAAACAGGAGATGAGACCCAAGAGGTAAGTCATTTAGGGTCCTGAGGCCATTGCAAGGACTTAGACTTTTGCTCTGAGATAGAATGTAAAGTCAATTCAACATCTCAAAGATTCCCTGTCATTTTTCTCTTCTATAGTTCAGTTGCCATACCTTTAAGAATTTTTTTTTCTCATGCTCCTACAGTTTTGGTAGTTTGTGGCCAGGCAACTAAAGAATGGGGGAGAAGTAGAGGCGGGCTGGCAGGGCAGAAGTGAGGGCTTCTAAGTGCCAGCTGGCATGACAGAATTCCTTAATACCTCTCCCCCAGTTTCTAATCACTTTCTCTACAAGTAAATATACAAACAGAAACAAAGTGAACTGGTGGCACCACCTCATGGGTGTCCTGTTTCTTCTGAGAAGAAGGTATTTTGCAATCACTACAATGTAGTATCTGGACTGGCACTGCCTGCCTCCTTGGGCCTGTCTGTACTGGCCCCCTGTCCTGCAAGCTGCAGTAGGATCCAGATTCCAGTTCTAATCATACACATATGCCATTTTCCTGGGGCATAGGGAGAGGATGAAAAAACAAAGACAAGAGGGTGGAGGAAAGAGTCCTACATCTTTCCTTTTTCTCCATTATTTATTCAACAAGTGTTTATTGAACACCTATTATCTACGAGGCAGAAAATAAACCCAGGCCAACTTGGTTTAAGTCCCTCCTGGTTAAATGACAGTGGACAAGTAATATAAATAAATATCTACATAATGCTTACAAGATGCCAGGCACTGTGACGGGCACTAGACATAAAACAGAGAAATGGATAGGGAAATGCCTTCAAGGAACTTATATTCTAATTAAAGAGCTAGAAATTGGAAGTAAAATAATTGCAAATTATGACAAGTGCTAAGAAGGAAACAAGGTACTAAAATAGAAAAGAGAAAGAGCCCTATTTCCAATAGGGTAGTTAAAGATGTCCTCTTTGCAAAGGTGACATGTAAACTGAGGCCTGACACATGAGGAGGTGCCAGCCACACAAAGAACAGGGGAAAGAGTGTCCCAGGCAGAGAGAACATTGAGAACAGAGCTTGATGTGTACTAGGAACTGAGAGAAGCGCAGTGAGAATAGACCAGAGTGGGAAGGGAAGAGTGGCATGTGATGGGGCTGGAGAAGCAGAGAGAGGCCAGATCATACAAAACTGTGAAGACTGTGGGAAGGAAACCGGAGTTTATTCCAAATGCCCAGGAGGCAGCATTGGCAGATTTTAAGCAAAAGGGAGTAACAAGAACCAACCTACTCATTCAAAAAATATTTACTGAGCCGTTATGATTCACCAGACCCTGAGGCAGGTGTTAAGAGGTACAATAGTGAACTCAGACATGGACCCTGTTCTTATAGAAGTTACAGTCTAGTGGTGGAAAGAGATGTTAACTTAATAATCACATTTATTAATGTATCTTTACAAACTCAGCTAAGTGTTCTGAAAGATAGGAATGTGGTTTCATGAGAACATATAAAAAGGAACCCAATATAGGCTGGGACATCAGGGAAGATATTCTATGAGGACACCTACGTCAGAGTTGTGAGAACGAAATCATGGGAGATATTCAAGGTCTTGGCACAGGGTCTGGCACACAGTGGGCATTCAATAAATGTTAGGTTCTTCCCCCTTCCAAGAACCATTCTGCGAGGTAGAAGAGAAGGTACACACAAATAACACCAAGGCAAATGTTACAACTGCCTAAAGAAACATTCAAGCAATATCATGGGGTTGAATGGAGGGAAAGATCACTCCTGGGTTCCACAGTTGAGGAACTGGGCATCATCCAGCCAGGCTGCAGCATAGACTATACATATGGGAGCAGCAAGAGATTTCACTGTAAAGAGAGGCTGAAGCCAGGCTGAAGAGTTTGGAGTTTATTCAGTTAGCAGTGGAAGCTGCTGAATATCACAACTAGGGTTTAAAAGGTTGATCCATTAGGGATGTGTGTGATGGATGGGAAGGAAGAGAACTTAGAACAGATAGAAGGCCGATATAGCAGCCAGGAGGGTGGTAACAGAGGCTTGGTTTCCAGGGAAGGCAGTAGGAATGGAGAGGGAGTTGGGAGAGACATTCTAGAGTCACCAGGACTTATGTGGGGACAATACAGATGGAGTGGTCAAGAACAATCCTCCAAGGCTTCAGTTCCAGTGATCTGGAGAAAAGCAAGGTCACTGACAGATGAAAGTAAGTCAGAAGAGAGAGCCAGCTTGGGATGAGGAATAGTTAATTGAATAAAATGTCAGATGTAAATAGATGCATCCATGTCGAGAGGTCCAACAGTCAGAATGTCTGTCCAGAGCTCTAGATAGGCTAGTCTGGGAACAGAAATAGAGATGTTGGACATATCAGAGAAATGAAGCTGTAGTTGTAAATGAAACCAAATGAGAGAAGGCCAAAGACAGACTCTCCAGAGAAAATGCCACATTTCTTGAGAAGCTTTTTTAACATTAAGATTGCCAGGATCCATTCCCAAAGGGTCAGGGGTGGAGTCCAGGAATTTGAATTTTACCAAATACTCCAGATGAAAACCTGTGTTAAACAGAAGAAACAGAGCTAGCAAAGAAAGAAAGTGTAATCAGAAAAACAGAAGCAGCACCAGAAAAGTGCAGTGCCACAGAAACAAAATGATTACAGTTAGGAAGTCATTACAAAATCTGGTCAGAAAAGTTCCAGATGGGATGGGATAGAATGCCCACTGCCAGAGGTTAGGAGTCAACAGTAGGGATTATAATGGGAGGTTGTAAGCACAGATTTACAATGTTGGGAGCTTGGTAGTTACCCAAGGCTGTAGATGTCCCAAGGTAGCAGGCACACACAAGTCCTGCTTTTAGCAATACGCTCTGCCCTTTTAGAAGGCAACCTAGCAGTATGTCTATGGAGGCCTTCAAAAATGTTATCTTTTGATCTAGTAATCCCATTTCTGGGAAATACTTAAAAAGTAAAATGTCTTATCAACAAAGATACATTATAGGAGTGAAGAGGTTAAAGGTTATATCACACCTTGAATTTAACAATGCTGAGGAAAAACATCCAACTTAAAAGCTTACTATTACTCAATTTCATCTTCAAATCCCAAACATCCCACGGCTTTTGTCCTCCCCCACCTTCCAGTTCTCTGCCAATATTGCCAAGTTGATTATTAACCCAAGTTGATTCCAATGCAACCAGAGCACACACTATGCACTGTTCTATAGTCATCTATTTTATTCATCTGATTCCTCCCTCTATAAGCTCCCTGAAGGCAAGAACCTTGTCTTACCCATCTTTGAATCCTCTTGGATTCAAATGTTTGCTGAATGAATGGCCCATTCCCCCATTAAATCTCACCTCCACTCCAACATGTACAGAGCAACAGTATCTCAGCCCATTAGTAAACCCACTCTCCTCCCCTACTCTCCTGGCCACTGCTTACCTGCGTAGAAGTGATAGAAGGGCCACCAGACAGCACTGTTTGGGATATAGGTGAGCAGTGAAGCTACGTAGCCTCGGTAGAAGCCGCGAAGCCCATCAGCCCGCAGGATCTGCCTAATGATGTCCTTGGTTTGGCCAAAGGCAACAACTCCTTGTCCCTCCAGGTTCCTGCGCACCTGGAAGCGGCCCATTTTCTCACCCTTGCGCTGCATCATCAGGTGCTGGGAGACTACATCAATGGGCACCGTGATGCTCTGGGCCACAAGGGAGGCTGAGCCACCAGCCACCAGTGATTTGACTGTGTTGCTCTGGCTGTAGTCAGCTACAAACTTCCGGGTGAGCTCATAAGTGGTGACATAGCACTGGCCAGAGATAAGGGTAAAGGTGTTGACCAGGAACCCCCGGTAGAGGCCGGTCACACCATCTGCTCGCAGGATCTTGATAAAGGCATCGAAGGTCCCGTGATAGAGGCTCTTGCCCTTCTGAACCTGCAGTCGGGTGCGGATGAGGGTGAATGGGTAGACGCTGACACGGATCATCATTGTCATTGCCACACCAAACACGTAGAACTTTTTCTTGTCCAGGTGTTCCCACTCGATGATCTGGATGTTACGTTTGTCCTCCATTGTGCTTGGAGACCTGGGATTTGAGCAGGAGGGAGGGATGTGAGGAAGGAGGTCAGAATTTTGCACTTTCCCCTACTGGCTAGGCTCTCTACCTCTGCCTGGGCCCTGGTGTCATGGCCCTGGGCAGGGACTATTCTCTGCCTCACTCAGGCAGAGCCCAGGATGCTGTCGACAAATCAACCACCTGTCAGGATGCAGGGCCTTTAAGTGGGCTAATAGGATGTCACTAAGTGACATTTAGGAGGTTTCTGAAGGCTGGAAGGGAGTGCTCCATTTCTTTTTCTTTCTTTTTTTTTTTTTTTTTTTTTAAGATGACCGGTTAGGGGATCTTAACCCTTGACTTTGGTGTTGTCAGCACCATGCTCAGCCAGTGAGCGAACCGGCCATCCCTATATGGGATCCGAACCCAGGGCCTTGGTGTTATCAGCACCGCACTCTCCCGAGTGAGCCACGGGCCGGCCCAAGAGTGCTCCATTTCTGATGCTCCTGGGCCCACAGAGGAAGCACCACCTTAGGCTTTTCTTCTTATCACCATTTACCAGCTGCCTCATCTTACTTTATTTCTGGTTTCCCGTGCTGGCCCCTTTGAGCTTCCCTGGCCCACACTCATTACACTTATACTTTCTCCAGTCTGCATTAGAAGTGTGGGGAAAGGGGAAAGAAGGCTTTCATACTACAGGGCACCCTCCCACAACCTCCCCCTCCCTCCAATGAAAGGAGTTAGAAAGTCAGGAACAGATCAAAAGGTCAGAGTCCTCTTTGGTTATTAGATAACTCATTCCAGAGAAATACAGAAAAGAACCCTGTGACAGCTAAGTAGTTTCCCTGAGAGTCTTGAGAACTACAGGGTAGAGAACATGTTTGACCCCTTTGAACCCTAAGCACATAAGCCACAACATCAGTCCTAGAGAATGAAGGGAGAGAAGTAACAGAGAAGATACACTCTGCCTTCCAGAAACTCAGTCTGTTCAAGGAGACACAGTATCCCTCTGGGGAATTGATATAAGATACAGAGGGAAAGAGACCAGGGAAAATTAATGTACATGTGGCCATCATGTTCAATGTATGTCTAGTGGATTCAATTATGTCCCCCAAAACTCACTGAAGCTTGAATTGCGTCCCCCACGTTTTATGTATTAGAAACTTAGCCCCACTGTGACTGTTAAGAGGGTGGGAAATCCTATTACGGTAACTGAAAAGTGGAGCCTTTAAGAGGTGACTGTATTGCAGAATCATGCAGTAGTGAATGGATTAAAAATGGTGGTCAGGGGTGTGGTTCTGAGGGCTTTAGAAGAAGAGGAGAGTCTGTTTTTCTCTCTCTGCTCTCTCTGCTTCCACCATCTTGCAATGTGAGACCCTTGGGTCAGTGTTGACACCACCAGATGGACATTGGACTTCCCAGCTTCAGAAACTGTAAGCAATAAATTTCATTTTCTTTTCTTTTTTTTTTTTTTTTTTGTCTTTTGTCTTTTTCCATGTCCGGCAACGGATCGCAACCCTCAGTGTCGCCCCCGCACCGGACCGGGGACCGGCAACGGGATCGCAACCCTCGGCGCCGCTCCCACGCCTCGCTCAGCCAGTGAGCGGGAACCGGTCTGCATGTGGGATCCGAACCCTCGAGCGGGAGCGCTGCCGCGCTTCCCAAGCGGCGCACTATCCAGTGCGCCACCGGGCCGGCCCTAAATTTCATTTTCTTTATAAATCACCCAGTTCAGTGTACTTTGGTATAAGCAACACAAATGGACTAATACAATATCCATTGCCTAGAATTTCAAACAAAACTAATAAGCTTACTAATACAATAACTAATAATTATAATAATAATTGCATAAAATCAGGAGCTTCAAACCTAGGAAATATCAAACCAGAGGACATCATTTATTAAACATATACTTAGTGGTAATGTAATGTGCTCCAGGTGTAGCTCAGCCCTGTTCTGTAGGATGCTAGACATTTTTTTTTTTTTTTCTTTCCTTTTTGTCTTTTTTTCGTGACCGGCAACGGATCGCAACCCTCAGTGTCGTGCCCGCACCGGGCCGGGACCGGCAACGGGATCGCAACCCTCGGTGTTGCGCCCGCACCTCGCTTAGCCAGTGAGCGGCCGGTCTGTATGTGGGATCCGAACCCTCGGCAGGAGCGCCGCTGCGCTTCCCAAGCGGCGCACTGTAGCAGTGCGCCACCGGGCCGGCCCGATGCTAGACATTTTTAGCCAGACAGGGAAAGTGAGAAGTCAGGGGCTCTCTAGGCTTTGAGAGAAATCCCTAAGGGCTGGAAAAGGAGGTAGCCACATCACAGGGAAGACTCAAGGGTTAAAATGTTCATCGCAAGCAGTTCTGGTGGCAAACCTCATGCCAAGAATCTAATCAGGGGCCATCCTCAACCACCTTCCCCACCCGAAAGTCCCAACTCAGGCTTCAGGTAGCTTTTGTTCTATGGGAACTGCTCCTGGTTTACCATGGAAGTCAACAGGGAAGCAAAGTTGGCTTTTCAGGAATCCCTGGGCCAGACTGTATCACTTTCATTAAAGTATGGGCTACCCACAAGTGCAAACTGAAAGAAAACCTCAGCTTCAAGGTGAGGCATGAGTGAGGTGCATGGAACCAAGACAGGCTTCCTGCAGGACAAAGCAGTTTGAATGAAGGAGGAATACATGTAAATAGTAAAAAGGAGAGAACAATGGCTCAGAAATGAGAAGAAAAAGGCCAACTGGGTTGGCCAGAATGGAAAATCTAGGCTGTGGCAAATGAGCTAGAAAGAGGCAGAGTTTTGCAGTCAGGAGAATCCCTGAAACACTGATTTGCCACTTGTGGACAAAGGTGGCCCTTCCTCCCCAACCTCTGCCTGGGACACACACCAAATCCAGCAAGGCAATCTTCACCTCTGAGCCCTTCAAGAGAAAGTGGACACTGTCTTCCCTGCCCCAGGTGTTTGTCAGGGTCCCAAGGTCATGTTTCCAACACCACTGTGATGTGAGGATACAGGGAAACATTAGGATTCACGGAATACCTACTACCTCATGTAATCCTTACAAATTAACCTGTGTACAGTTAGACATGTCTAACAAATGAGAAAAATGGAGGGTCAAATAGGTTTGAAGTAACAGGCCCAAAGTCATGCAGCTGGTCAGTGGTAGAGGCAGGATATGAGCCAAGATTTCTCCTCTACTCCCGCATGCCTTCTACCTCTTGGGGGTTAAGGAATTCCAACACGAATCACTATGCTCAGCTTAAAACTAAGTCATTCCCACCTGTGGGAGGCGGAATTAATGCTCTCATGACTGTAGGACACTGAAGGATTAAAAATAAACTCTTGGCCATGCAGATGCCTAGGGACTTTTCTCTGCTTTGTTCCAGAGAAACCAAGAGCTGCTTCTGAGCTCCCAGTGGGTTTGTGGAGTGACTGAGCTTACTGCCTGAACAAGCACATTGTTGTCACAGGACAAGTACAGCAGGAATCAAGCAGAAGGATCTTCTGCTGGGCACGTGCAAACTGTGTGCTATGCAGGGCACAGGGGCCGAGCAATGAAGGATTCTGTTCCAGGACTTGGTTTCATGGGCGCCTTCTCAACTTGTCAGGCCAAATCACCAAGTACCACCATCTCTTAATGGGAAATCCTAAGGAAGGACCCATTGCCCCATTTCTCCCCTTGCCTCCGTCTCTCACATGTGCCAATCTATTTAAATTCCCAGAAGGAAGTGGCAACTCTATGAGGTAGGTAACTCCTCCATTGTCATAGTGACTGGAGAAGCCACTAAGGGTCATGCCTGAAAGAGATAAGCTGCTACTACAGTAGAAGGGAAAGAAGGCACTTTATCCACCCCCTCTACTTCTTCGAAAGAGGGAGGCTGCTCCTAAAAGGTGAGATCTCAACCTTCTCTTTGTTATCTAACCTCCAAACTTCCACTGAAATATCAAAACCAGTTCCTGTTTTACCCTTTGGAAAATCCTCTCTGCAGATACCTGTATGCAAACTTCCTTCAGCCTTCCTTTCTGCCAATTCAGTCAGCCCATCTTCTTTATGGCTCTTTCCCAGACCCTTATTTTTGTGCCTTGCTCCAATCCCAGATTTTCTCCCACCTTTTTTTTTTTAAAGATGACCGGTAAGGGGATCTTAACCCTTGACTTGGTGTTGTCAGCACCACGCTCAGCCAGTGAGCGAACCGGCCATCCCTATATGGGATCCGAACCCGGGGCCTTGGTGTTATCAGCACCGCACTCTCCGGAGTGAGCCACGGGCCGGCCCCAATTGGCATATTTTAATTACTTAACACTTAAGGGTTAAAATCTTAAGGGTTTACATCATGTTGTAAGGAGATTGGGGCTGTGGTGATTCGGAGGATCAGGAATTTCCATCTAGAGAATCAAGTTCATCAGGAAATCGGCAAGATGAAGCCCTGTCCTGCTCCCAAGCACCCTTCCACCAAGGGCCTCCTGTGAGGGCAGATGAGCCACCACCCAGAAATTAAGGGAGAAATTGCTAAAAAAGATGACAAGGTGCTGTCATTACTAAAAGATGCGTATGTTGATTCCAGAGACCGTGTCTTTACCATACAGGTAAAAGATGCAGAAACACCTCAAAAGCCTCCCACCTTTCGACACTGCTTAGGCATAAATGTTGATGTATTTCTAGTCCCCAAACAGGTGATCCAGGATTAGTGAGCATTTTGTACTGAAGTCATCAAATAAAATGTCAGAGGCAGAGCTCCCACTACTAGCCCCACCAATGGAAAGGGATAAATTGGCTCAGCATGTATACCTTCTCTCCACTTCCATGCTCCTTGCAACAGAAAAATCCTTGCACTAGGTCCTGAGATAAGATTTTGGCTCAGAAGAAGGCAGTGTCACCCGGAAGGCAAGGTCATACAATGGAAAACACTAGTAGTCAGGAGATCCATGCTTGTGTTCCACTTCCACTACTTACTAGTTTAAGTTTGGAACCAAATCACTTCACTGAAATTCAGTTTCCTCATCTGTGAAATGGGGCTAATAAAGCCTGCCCTCACTATATAACAATTGCAGTGCCACTCACATGAGCTAATACTGTAAAAGCATTTTGTTAACATTAAAGCATTTCTATCATTGCAGAAAGTTCTACTGGAGTGATGCTCAAAGCCCTTGCTCAAGGACTAGAGTGGTCCACAGAACAAGCAACATGGGCATCACTTGGGAGCTTGATAGAAATACAGAATTTCAGGCTGCATCCCAGACCTGCTAAATAAGAGCCAACATTTTAATAAGATCTCTATGTGATTTACATGCATATCTGACTTGTCACTGGAACTTCATCTTGACTTGTCACTGGAACTGGGTACAATGATGACGACTTGATCCATTCCAATCTTTTCAGTCAACCACCCCAACCAAATGAAATCAGTTCTACAACTCCTGACAAGACACCCATGGGTCCCCACTTCTCAGCTGGAAAAACGGAGAGGAGAGACTAGCATCCTCTATTCCTTCAGCTCTCCCTACTGCATCTGCATCAAGGCTCTGCATCCTGGGAGCTATCCACCACATGAACGTGTATATCTTTACATGCTCGCCCACTTGCCCTACTGAATATGCATTTCCCTAGGCGAGGTCCCTGGCGATGCCTCCTACCCCTCCCTTGTAGACAATCTCCTTCAGATATGGTGAGATTCCCACCCAATCTTTCTTTGGTCTTCCATAGATGCCCACGTGATCCCTCATCACAGACATCACATGACAATCTTCTCCACGTACTCCACATGACACCCCCTCTATACAGCTTCTGTCCTGGCCCCCCGCACAGCCGACTTTGGGTCCTCGGACATGCCCCTCACCGTGCCTCTCGCCAGGCTTCTTTCGCTGTTAGCAAATGTCATGCTCCTCCGCCGGGAAGAGATGCCCCGCCGGAGTTGTCCTTCATTCCCAAAACTGCACTGCAGCGCAACCCGGCACCACAGACATCCCCTGCCTCCTTGACTAGTCCTGGTCTTGAGAACTTACTCCTCAGGCACCCCAAGCTGGCGGTTCCTTACCTTCTCAGACTCTAGCGGTTCCACCGCGTCTGAGACGAACTCCAAGGCCGGACCTCTAGGCCGCAGCCCCCACTCTATCCTCTGTCCCCAGCGACTGCTGGCCTCCAGCTGCATCTTCCTCCATCTCGATTCGGCTCCCGGTACTGCCGGAACCGGAAGGAACGCTATCATTACCGCCCCCCGCGAGGGGCGGGGAAGAGCCGTGGGCAATTCCACCAATGGCATTTGAGCCTTTGAGCCCTTCAGGAGAGAGGAGTGAGAGGTTGTGCGGCCATCTTGGATTCGGGCATTAGCCACACCTTCTTTAGCTTCGTCATGCCCTCAGCTACCAGCGCATGCGTGTTCCGCTTGGCCTCTTTCTAATTCGGGGAAAGCCAATCACCGGGCGTTTCTTCAAGATCCAGTTGTAAATGGGTCACTTTGTGTTTCGGGATCTATTGGAATCTTTATGTCCAAATATAATCTATGAGTTTTGTGTAATTTTTCTCATAATTTATAGAGCCAAAACAGTAAAGGCCAAAGTGCAGTGAGAAGGACTGATGCTAGGTAACCAATTTTGAGGTTTGGGAACTCAAAAAATTGCAGGAATGGGGAGCATCCTGGAGGTAGAGAAAGCGACATAAGGGTCTCTTCCAGCCTTGAAACTATTTGTTTATATATACATTTAAAAGAAGAGGAGGGCTGGTGGGGTAGCTCACTTGGTTAGAGCCTGGTGCTTATAACGCCAAGGTCGAGGGTTCGGGTCCATAAACAATAAATAGATAAATAACTAAGAAGATCAAGAGGCTGGCCGTCAGCTCAGTTGGCTAGAGCACAACCTTACAACACCAAGGTCAAAGGAGGAGGAGGAGGAGGAGGAGGAGGAGGAGGAGGAGGAGGAGAAGAAGAAGAAGAAGAAGAAGAAGAAGAAAAGAAGAAGGAGCTTCTCATATGACGACCTGGGAGGCATGGGGTGGAGAGTCAATTTGTTAGAGGCATAGGTCCTGCTGCCTGCCCCCTTTTAGAAACAAACCATTCAAAGGTCAAATGTTGGTGAAAATGGAAGCCAGCTTTTATTTAGGAATACTGGTGACCTGAGGAGAGATGTTAGGCTGACCAATCTCTCCTGTAAACCCGAAGGAGAATGGCCAGACTAAAACCTTGTGAAAGACTAAGATTTATTGAGTTTTTTGTTTGTTTGTTTTGAGACCGGCCGCACCGCGCTCAGCCAGTGAGCGCAGCGGCCATCCCTATATAGGATCCGAACCCGCACCCGCGGCGGGAGCGCTGCTGCACTCCCAGCGCCGCACTCTCCCGAGTGCACCACGGGCTCAGCCCAGATTTATTGAGTTTTTTTTTTTTTTTTTTTTTTTTTTTTTTTTTTTTTT